CGAGAGTTGGCCTTCAGCCGCTCCATAAGTCCTTCCGCGGGTTTGGAGTGCCATCTGCACTCGCCCCTTATCGTCCGGTGAAGCTGTAAAGGCCAGCTGCGGCCAACAGCATTAGAGTAGTCAAAAAAAACCTCTAGTTCCGAGTGCTTTAGAGCTAAGAGGTACTGACTAGAAGCTCAGCCCTTATTCTTTTTAATGAGTACCAGTCTTTCAATGACAACCTTATTATTGTAGTAGTTTAACATATTATATTATACATATTTATGAAAGTATATATATACTAGTATACTAGAGTAGTCCGAAAAAAAATACCATGTTTTTTAAAACCCTTCAAAAGCACATCCAAAACTATACAAGTACGCTTGTTCACATATAAAAAACGACCAATGAAATTGTAGAAGTGAAAGCACGTTGATTTATGATGGCCACACGGAACGGCCGCTATTGTGCATTGGCACTTTGTTTTGAGTACGCGCTGTGGTCGAGTTTTGTTAACTGCCTTTGAAATTGTGTTTGTCGGTGCGTATATTTTTCCTGTAGATTTTTAGTACTACATAATAGCTAACCGAAAGAATAACTCGACATTCAAAGCGAGAATGGAGATCGTCATATCAAAAATTATGATCACAATGTATACGAAAAACTAAACTTGCTGTTAGAAATAGAAATAGAAATAGAAATAATCTTTATTCAAATAAACTTAATATAAGTACTTTTGAATAGTCAAGTTTTTTTATTGTACCGCTCATTCGGAATACAGACTCATCACAAGAAGAATGTGTAAGATATTGTGTGTTGCTCTTTTAAATAAACAATGATTTACTTATATTTAATTAACAACAAGGATTAGGCATGCGACAATCAACATAGAAGCCGCTACGCACTTAATCTCTGTTTAATCAGATAATAACAATAACATGTTGTTTAAAAAATACATATAACAGTTAGGGAGTCATAAAATACTATTCGCTTCAAAACGTAATTTACTATATTAATAACTAGCTGTACCCGCGACTTCGTCCGCGTGGAATTTAAAATTATTTTTCTAAAATAAAAATAGCCCAAGTTACTCCTTATTACATTAGCTACCTGCCAAGAACAGTCCCGTCAAAATCGGTCAAGCCATTTCAGAGATTAGACACAGAGAGACACACAAAAATTGTAAAAAATGTTATTTTGGTGTATGTACCGTATTTATATTCATATGCATGTAGTAAAAAACGGTTATTTCAATATTACAAACAGACACTCCAATATTATTTATGTGCATAGATTAAATGATATAAACGTATAGGTTTGGAGTTAACTACATTTTATCTGTTTTATAACAAGTTCATTTGATTTTAACTTCGGTGCATATTTTCGGTGCATCAGTCAGTAATAATAAACGGACACTAATTTGTAATTTTCTTGAAATACAAGAAAGCTTTATGACATAATTCACTATTAATGCAAATTATTATTGTATAGTGTCATTTTGTACGCGTAAAAATTAAGTTATGCATGCTGTATCTACATCTAGAAGGATGTGTTACTTAAATAGTTTGTTTAATGTGTATTAAGTTATGTACTATGCAAGACATCTAGTTTTGTAGACCTAAAATAAAAATAAAAAAAAACTGATTTTGTGAACCGTTATTATGGGATACAGTCACCTAGATACATCAAAATAATAATTGCATTTAATAATGTCTAGTAAGACAAATTCAATATTGTCTACTAACCACTGCTGTGTCTAAACTGTGTCACCTCACCTTACATTTTCCTATTGTCATTTAGTATATAAGATCAATATTTTTATGTACATATTGTCTGTCAATTATCATCTGTGCACGTCCCCTAGTATTTCAGGCGTTCATAGGCTACGGTAACCGTTTACCATCAGATTGGCCGTATGCTCGATTGCCACCACAATAGTATAAAAAAAAATCTGTAATACACATCGTCTCACACAACAGCATTATCATTCACCCGTAACAGTTATCTTATTCTTGTATCAACGATGAAGAAACACTTCAAATTCACTGACATATTAAAATATCAACTAAGAAACTATACGGGTCCAGACTTGTGCAACTCAAGTTTGTAAAGTTGGTAACTTATTCAAGATTTGTGCAATGTTGTCCCGCGAGTGCACGCTCGGTTTTGATACAATTCTCAACTTAGCTCGTTTTACGATGAAAAACTTATAAAATACTAGCTATTCGCCCCAGCTTCTAACCACTACATGTATTATATATATAAACCTACCTCTTGAATCACTCTGTCTAAAAACTTTCTAAAATTAAAGATTTTTTTTTAATAAAAGTAGCCCAAGTTACTCCTTATTACATTAGCTACCTGCCAAGAAAAGTCTGCTAAGAAAATCGGTCAAGCCATTTCAGAAAATAGCCGGAACAAACAGACGGACAAAAATTAAAAAAAAAATATTTTGGTGTATTTATATTCACAGGCATGTGGTAAAAAAAGGTTATTTCAATATTACAAACAGACACTCCAGTTGTATTTATATGTATAGATAATCTGTATAACTAAGTTATCACGGGGAGTGTTCTGTGGAATTGTTCGGATTAATACCAGCTGCTGAGTTTCACCCCCGTACCACCCGCCAGAAACTGAAATACCATCCTGATCATCTGGATGAATGGCGGTCCTCCACAGTGCGGTTTTCTAGAAACTTTTTGCCTCGCACAACCACATTGTGGAATCACCTTCCAGCAATGGTATTTCCGAACCGATACGATATTGAAACCTTCAAGAAAAGAGCTTATTCCTTTTTAAAAGGCCGACAACGTACTTGCAATTCCCCTGGTGTTGCGGGTGCTCATGGGCGGCGGTAATCACTTACCATCAGGTGAGCTGCATGCTCGTTTGTCTCCTGTGTTATAAAAAAAACACCATAAAGATTGGTTTATAAGAGAAATATCATCCACACTAATATTGCCTATTTAAGCGGATTTAGTTTTTCTTCCTACCAATCGGTTACAATCGCCTCGGCCAGCCTTTGTAAATCGAGAGCCATTTACGTACGAACACACAAAGGGAGAAAAAGCCTCGCCCGCTTCCAGTGACATTTTTTTTTCCAAAGAATCGTCGCAAAACCGAACAAAGGACTGCAGAGATAAAAGTATTAGGAGCTTGTAAAACTTGCTCTTTCATAATTCTCGCAGTTCCCCATTCGCTTTTAGAATTAAAAACAATAATATACCTGCGAGAATAGGAGAAGTGCTGTAAGAAAATTACATTATTGTCTTTGTGACTGTTGGTATCGTAGAATAATGTTTTTGTATGTTTCCGTTGAGAAATTTGTTTTGTAAAAGAAATTATAAATAATAATAATCTCAGGACAATTACACAGCTCCATCTAGACCCAAGTTAAGCTAGCTAAAGCTTGTGTTATGGGTACTAGATAACTAATACAAATTTATAGATATATCTTTTTTTTGTAAATACATACATGTTATAAATATCCAGACTGATACAAACAATCATACTCATAAATACAAATGTTTGTGCGGAGGATCGAACCCGCGACCATCGGACGGTTTGCTAAACCGCTAGACCACCGAGGCCGTCAAATAAAGTACGGTAATATTGACAATAATGGCAATGACTATCTTTCGGTATATGTATTTCTGAAGAAATACTCACAAAACAGCTAGTACGGTATTTTTTAATTTTATATAATTTGTAGGTGATAGAATGAGTGGACTGTATGTGTGATGTAAATCAAACAATGGATAGAAAATGGTAAATACTTATAATGAGGATAGTATGTGTACAAACGTTTGTAGGCAAAAAGTGACAATAAAATATATGACAATTCTAAAAGAAAATACATTCAAAATTGATAGAAAAATAAATATATAAAAATGTGCAAAGAGTTTGCAACATAATTGATACTGTATTTCTGACTGGTTCTTCAAAATAAGATACGACTAGAATAGGTAAAATATTTACAGATAGACTAATCAAAAAGAAAGAATCATTTTAAGCTGAGTTTCAGTTGAAGGATATCTATCATAATATCAATGCTCTCTGGAATCTAAATATATATAACTCAAAGGTGACTGACTGACTGACGTAGTGATCATAATATCTATGCTCTCTGGAATCTGAATATATATAACTCAAAGGTGACTGACTGACTGACGTAGTGATCATAATATCTATGCTCTCTGGAATCTAAATATATATAACTCAAAGGTGACTGACATAGTGATCTATCAACGCACAGCCCAAACCACTAGACGGATCGGGCTGAAATTTGGCATGCAGGTAGATGTTATGACGTAGGCATCCGCTAAGAAAGGATTTTGATAAATTCAACGCCATCTAGTCCCAAACTAAGCAATATTGGGCTTAGTGGTTGGCTAAAATTGTTTTTTGTTATTATTCTTTCTATTTTTCTTTCCTTTTACGTGATTTTATTTTCTGTTTTCATTATAAATGAAATTTGGTAAACAGATAGTATAAATCTTGTGAAAGGACATAGACTGCTTCTTGAAACGAAAAAAAGGTTGTATGGGGTTGAAAGAGAAGATGAAATATTGTATGGAAGTATCGTCATTTTTAGAAGCTTGGAAATTATTTTTTAAGCTGTTGATTAAATATAAGTAAACATAACATTCAAAGTGTGTAAAAATTTTACCCTTAAATAAAATAGGGGATGAAACTTTGTATGAAAATTCGTCATTTTTGTAGCTAGAACGATGAAACTTTTTTCTTTAGCTTTTTTGGGTTAGATTATTAAATGTTTTTTGGCCAAGGTCATTATTTCACGCGGACGAAGTCGCGGTCACAGGTAGTATAGTATAAAATGAAATTGCTTCCGCTATCTGTTCGGTTAGACTCTTTAATCTATGCAACGGATTTTAATGCAGTTTTCACAATACACACTATGTGGAAGATTTATATGTACAATACATGTATGATTACGTTTGTTTAATCAGAGCCTGCGAAAAGTCCAGGAGATATTAATATATTCATGTGACGACCAGGTGGCGAGGGTCAGGAGCATGGGCCGGTGTTCCTGATGGAGCCTCCACCGCGGCTGGTGTTCTCCAACAGTACGGGCGCGCGAGTGTCGTGCGCCGCTCACGGGTTCCCAGCGCCGCAGCTGGCCTGGCAGCAGCCTGATGGGGCCCAACTGGACGATGTACCTGGCCTAAGGTTAGTGGTAGCATACCTTTATCTCCAGCCGTCGATATTATACTTATATATATGTCGCAGAATCAACAAAGAGGCTCAATTGATTAGTTTCTACTAGACTAGCGCCATCTATAATCGTTGTTGGAAACGTCAAGCGGTTTGCTTGGGTGAGGTCGGTACAGGGTAAAGCAGTTTTAACGGCTATTACGAAACGGCACTTTTGAATTGGGGGCGAGCGCGAGAGGTTGTTCTTCACTCTGTACCGAACTTGCCGCGTTTCCCTGACTAATCCGTTTGCATCTGGCTGATCGTTGTTGAATTTATTATTTTGTTATCGGGAGTGAGTTAATAGACGATTACACTTTAAATCAAGACTATTATTTCTTGCCTACACCATGCCCAACATGGGTTCTGATGACGAGGTATCCCAAGTAGAGGAACTACCCTCGTTATATACATATATATATTATTATGAGGCCGTCTAGCCTCGATGGTTAATTTTTAGCCAAGCGTTTTTAATTATGTTAAATTCGACAGATATAAATAAATAATCCTGGATAATTAACACAGCGCCATCTAGTCTAGAAATTTTATATTTATACTCTGTAAGTCTGCGAATAGATTGTTATAATTTTTTGCCAAGTATTAAGTGATAATGTTAATGAATTTTAGTATTGTAAATTTTTGTCTATCACGAGATTTATTCATTTCTATACCACACGAGACAAATGTGCTTGCGGCTCACCTGATGGTAAGTCATTACCGCCGCCCATGACCACCTGCAATATCAAGTCAAATGCGTGCATCATCATCTGCTTGTTCCTTATCCCATTTATTTGCGGTCGTCGTAATATGTTTTTCACTTCCATTCATCCCTGTTCGCAGTCATCTCGTTCTTTACTCTCATCCTTATCATATCATCTTTCACACAGTCCATCCATCTCTTTTTCGGCCTTCCTCTACCCTTATAACCATCCACATTCATATGTAACACTTTCCTTAAAATATTATCTTCATTCCTACGCATTACATGCCCATACCATGATAGGTCACTCTTCGATCTCTCCGACACCAGCGCTACTTTCATACTTCCTCTATTGAGAAGAAAAATGCGTGCGTTTAAAAAAAAAGTTTATTCTTTATATTGTATTTTTTACATTGCACTGAATAAAATATTTTTCTTTCTTTCTTTCTTTCTTTACAAACGAACAAGCGAACTTAAAGAAATCCATATCCCCTACAATATAAGTAGCGATAAAACTGTACTATGAAATCCCTTTCATATAATTTCAATAGGAATGCCTTATCTTTAAATTATACTCTGTAATACGGAGCAAAGATTCAGAGGCAGCCCACATGAAATATGCATCAGGTATTTGGAATAGTGCCCCGGGTCTGTGACTTGTGTGCAAGGAAATATACGGAGTTATTGTCGAATTCTGAATAATGTAGTGTCATAAGCATATACTTATAGTTAACTTGCATCGATCATACTTAGATCTTCAAAATGACATACAAACTAACTAGGGAGAGAAAATATTAGGGCCCTTGATACGGCAAGACGAATCTTTAATAAACCCACAACTTCGTCCGCGTGGAAAAGAGTTCTTGGATATTTAAATAATTAAATATTTACATATTTAAGGCTAAATATAAAAAGAAAAAAAAAAGTTTCGTAGTTCTATCTTCAAAAATGACGAATTTCCATATAAAACTTTCGTACCCTATTTTATAGTATCCCCTCAAAAGGTAATTTTTTTACAAAATTGAATGTCATGAAATGAAATAATTTATTTGCGAAATATTGGTATAGTAAATATGATGTTATACATGAAATTGATTGATCAGCAATATTTACCACTAGCTTTTGCCTGCGGCTTGGGTCGCGTTAATTTATCCCCTAGGTAGGTTTATGCAGGTCTATTACAGATTCTTATGATATGTCAAATCTACCGTCAGTCCGGAATGATTTCGAGATGTGAAGAACTGACGAGAATCTCAGCTCGTATTCTTTTCAAATAAATGTACATGTTTACAATAACATAGATGAATTTAAATTCAAATTTGGTTTTATTTTGTCTTGTTTTGGGATTTGTAGTGTGTACTGTTACTTGATATCAAATGTAGTTACAATGTCGTTTTGTAGTTGTCCTGAATCTAAATATACACCGATGTATCGATCCTATTCCCGGGAAGGCTCGCCGTGCTTCCGAAATAAACGTGACCCAAAAATAACAATGGTACAAACTTTCTATTTATAAAACACTGCATTTATATGGTTACAAATTATTTTAAGTTTATTGTTTTTAAATAAAACAAAAAGAATTGTCTATCGCGCTCGTTTCAGTGATGGCTGGGTCATACTCGTGAACGAGTGCTGCTTGTAGGGTCTGCTCTTATCACTACGACTGATTTAATCTTATTGTGTATTTATATTTGACCCCAATAAATTAGTGCTGGTTGGTAGTATGTGTTCACACGTTTCGAATTGTAAATGTAAACTTACAAGGATTATTTAAAAGAGTAACACACAAGTTTCTTGCTCGTTCTTCTTGTGATGAGACGTCCGAATGAGCGGTAGATAAAAAAAATGTTATGACTATTCAAAAGTGGTTAAATGAAGTTTATCTGATTAAAAGATTTTCTATTCTATTCTATTCGCTATAATGCGGTAGACTTTACTTGAAATGATTTTCCAATTTTTATACAAAACAGACATTAAGCTGAGTTTCTTGTCAGTTCTTCTCATCTCGAACTCATTCCGAACGGACGGTAGATGTGACATATCGGTTTAGCACACCGCTTTACTTCCTATGGTCGCGGGTTCGATTCCTCGCACGATACAATACAATTTGTATTCATGAGTATGATTCTTTGCATCGGTCTGGGTGTTTTCTATGTATATTATGTAGGGATTTACAAAAAATATATACATATATAAGTATTTGTAGAGGTGATTGTGATGACTCTGCGTTCCGAATGAGTGGTAGAATAAAAAAAATGTGACCATTCAAAAGTGCTTATATCAGTCTAGTACCAATAACACAAGCTCTACTTACCGTGGAACTAGATGGCGCTGTGTTAATTGTCCAGGGATATTTCTTTATTTATTTATGGTAATGTAAATTTGCATTATATCATAAACAAATATAATTATATATTTCAAAATAATTAAAAAGAAATCAACAAACGAAACATCGTTCCGGTAAATGGTATTAAATATTTATAACCTATTACCAAAATGCCACAAGTACGATAGGCTGTCGCAATAAACAACCTCTATTTCATGAACAATACAGATGATAATTCGATGGTAATTCCCAAATGTTCGGTGCGAGCCGTAAAGTCAACAATGTTATGTGAGCCGGCTTAGTGTACAGTTGCCAACCGTCCTGTTTTCTCAGGACATGTCCTAGTTTTCCAAGTGTCCTGGGAAGTCCTGAATAGTTATTTGGCAGCGTCCTGGGTTTTGAAAATATACAAGCGTCTTACTACTGATTTTCAACAGTATCTAAATATATATAACTCAAAGGTGACTGACTGACATAGTGATCTATCAACGTACAGCCCAAACCACTGGACGGATCGGGCTGAAATTTGGCATGCAGGTAGATGTTATGACGTAGGTATCCGCTAAGAAAGGATTTTGATTAATTCTACCCCCAAGAGGATAAAATAGGGGATGAAAGTTTGTATGAAACTTTGTCAATTTTAAACCGATCGGGCTGAGACTTTGCATGCATAAAGCTACTATGACGTAGGCATCCCCTAAGAAAGAATTTTGATTAATTTCACCCCTAAATTAACGCAAGCGAAGCCGCGGGTAAAAGCTAGTAATTCTATAAAATACTTTTTATTAAAAACCTGATTATATTAATTACTTGAATGTTACTACATATTAATATAACTATTGCAACACTGCGTTCTGTTTTTAAACTGGATAGTCCTGATTTTTTAACTTTCAATCCTGGTTTCTTCAATTTGGGCTTGGTAACCCTAGCTTTGTTGCGTGTCGTGAGGGTAGACGTAATAATGTATACAAAGAGCAACATTCCTTCATATTAACAACATTTACCATATTAACAAGAAGTGACGACTTTGGTGGTCTAGCGGTCTAGCACACCGCTTTACGTCCGATGGTCGCGGGTTCGATTCCTCGCACGGCACAAATATTTTGTACTCATGCGTATGATTGTTTGTATCGGCCCGGGTGTTTTCTTTCGACCCGTAAAATTATAAAAACATTTTTTTCAATAAATTAACTAAAACTATTTTAATTACACTTCATACCGCCTTTCTGAATAGAAGATTAAAAACAATGACTTATGATCCTTCGAGCCGGATACAGCGACCGACAGCTTTCTAAATAGAAGATCAAATACAATGAGTTATGGTCCTTCGAGCCGGATCCCTAAACTCGCCACCGATGTATTTAATAAGTGCTTTAACATATTCACAGATACGTAAAAATATAAATTACTTGAAGTTTAAATCGATACAACAAAGAATTTCATTACAAATAAATCATAATTATAATCTAAGTATTAAATTCTCGTGTCACATTTACGTGTTTATACTACTCCGAAACGGCTTGACCGATTTTGATGAAATTTTATATTTGGTCTGAGTACTACCCGTAAGTGTTAAGAGTGGCTCACCCAAAAAAAATATTTTTAATTTTCAACAATTTTATATTTTTTTATAATGTGGCATTTAAAAATACATACAACCCTAAATTTCCATACTTCTACCACCAACCCCTATATACTAATTTTAATATATGAAAAAATTACCAGGGTCAGCTAGTATCCCATTCAAATTCAATGTATATTCATGTAGGTCTATTACAGACTCTTATGATATGTCAAATCTACCGTCAGTTCGGAATGATTTCGAAATGAGACGAACTAACAATAAACTCAGCTCGTATTCTCTTCAAATAAATGTACATATATATTGTTCAAAATCTACCCTGTACCATCGTAAGCACAGATTATTATATTAGAGTCCGTTAGTTTCTG